ACATGGCAATGCTGTGAGTTTTGCTTGGTTCAGGAGATCCAAGGAAATGAGCCTCAAATTGCTGCAGCTCTGGCTTCTATCAGCGACCAAAACTACTGAAGGGTAACAGTAATGCAGATTCCAAATCTCCAGGGATTCACCAAGTCCCTTAGAGGAAAAGCAGAGGCATAAGTAGTGCCAGTTCAATTGTGGCATTAGTTGCACATCAGTTGGAAGAGTGAGGTGCTCTGTGTAATTAAATGTTCAGAAAACTTATCCTTCCCTGGAAATATTTAACCTGGGTTCATGGTTATGCTTTCCTCCACTCCAACAGAATGGTTGCACCTGTTTTGAGTGGGCATGATGTTCAAGGATGATTCATTGATGAATCTAGTGGGCTATGAACTTTGTAACTATCTGGATTGTAATAAAAGGTGTGGGTGGGTGTGAGGAACTAACAGGGGAAAATATTTCCCTTGGTGGTTCTTGTCTGCTTTCTTACAGACAGTGGTTGTTTGAACAAATAGAGGTCTGTTGATTTTGAGAGTATGGGATCCACTCTTTTCTGATTTCTGGACCCATTCCTGATTTTGGTCATGTAGCAGCCATCCAATGGATATAGATTCTTCCAAGTGCTCTTCATTGAGCTAACATGAAGCATGATGAGCTCTCAGTCTGTTTGAGCAGCTATAAGCTGTAATTCATTCTAAAGTGTTCTCCCTCACTAATGATAGATCACAGTGATGTGTGTGTGTGTGTTGTGTTGTGCATGTCTCAGCTTTGTGAATTCCCACCAATGCTCTTGTTGCCCGCTATCAAAATAATCCGGGTGAATGTCAGCAGAATGAATGGGGCTGATGAATGAGAGTAAATGAGTGTCTTGTAATGGGGCTCTTCATCCACTGAAAGGAAAGGCAATTAAGCACCCACTCTTTAAGTAGTGTCTGGTTTAAATCCATCCCATGAATGCTAATGGAGGGAAGATGAGGGAGGGGTTGTGATAGATTCTGCTGAGATGGGGTTATCGTACTTAGGCTCAGATTTCTCAGCATCTGGACTGAAACTGTTGAACCTCCACTGGAACTGTCCTCCCCAACCTAATATCCTACAGATGAGTTCGACTACAATTGTCATCATTTCCCGCTCGCGTTTGGGAGGTCATCCAGTTGGTGAGGTCTGGTTTGGAGCATTGTCCTGCTAGTGATAACAAACATTGTGTGTGCCTCAGCATCCATCTTGCAGATTAGCCTCATTCAGATTGATTTCCAATAAGGTTGATTGGCAATGTCAGCCATCATTTTAGAGCCATGCTTGGTATCTGTATGAGTGACACAGTTGGTAGGGTTTGTGGGCTGACTGGGTCTCTCAGTGAATGTAATGAATGAGGCAGATTTTTAAACTGATTCTCCCCATAGAATCATAGAGTTGGAAGAAATCCCAAGGGCCATCCAGTCCAACCCCCCGTGCCATGCAGGAACTCTCAATCAAAGCATACCTGACAGATGGCCATCCAGCCTCTTTTAAAGACCTCTGAAGAAGGAGACTCCACCAAAATCTCTGAGGGAGTGTGTTCCACTTTCAAACAGCTCTTACTTCCAGGAAGTTCTTCCCAATGTTGAGGTGGAATTTCTTTTCCTGTAACTTGCATCCATTATTCCAGGTCTTATTCTCTGGAGCAGCAGAAAAGGTGTCAATATGACACCCCTTCAAATATTTGAACAGAGCTGTCATATCACCTCTTAATCTTCTCTTCTCTAGGCCAAACATACCCAGCTGCCTAAGTCTCTCCTCATAAGGCATGGTCTGCAGACCCTTCACCATTTTAGTCATACCCAGTTCTAGACTGATAGCCTAACCCAAGGGTAGGAGTCATAGAGCCCCCTAGATGATGTTGAACTGCATCCCCATGCATTGCTCACCATTACGTATGCTGGCTAGAGTTGCTGGGAGTTTTGGTACAGTAACATCTAGAATGTCATGATTCCCACCCCTGCCCTAATTGTTTGATCATACTGGCTCTAGGTGGTTTTTCAACAAGTCTAATAAATGTCAGCACCTGGTCTCTACTTTCCTCCAACAGAGACATTCTAACTTTGTGCTTCTAGGTTTTTCTTTCCCTTGGATGTCAGAGCACTGGAAATTTAGGAAATTATAGTGTTTGCTTCATTTCAGAGATGGAAAGTTATTTTTGAATTCCCGGAATCCCCTAGTCTGCATGACCAAATGGAGGATTTGAGAATTGTAAACCATACAAATAGATGTTGTTTTATTTATATATTTTTGTTGGATTTCAACTTCAGATGGGGAAAAAATAATTATTTTAAAACAGTTTAAATCAACTTCTTTATTTAAAAGAAGAACAATACTGTATATAAGTAAAACAGCTAGCAAAGCCAGCTAGTTCTCTAGTTTTAGGGACCAAAAGCTGTATGAAAGAATATCGCATTAGCTGTCCACCCAGAGGTCTGGGAAATGCAGCCAGGTTGACTTCTGGAGTAGTAGTGTTTGAGCCAAGTTACAGAGAAAGCCTTTTTGTGCATATTTACCCACCTGGCCTCTCAGAGAGGTGGGACAAGCAACAGAACCTTTGCTTTGCTGAAGATCTCAAATTCTAAGGAGACTCTTGGAAATAGCCACTGTTTCATATATCTTGTATCCAAGCCATTTAAGGCTTTGTGGGTCAACACAAGCACTATGAATTCAACTTGGAAGTAAAATTAGAAGCCAGCACAGTTGGTGCAAGACCAGCAATATGTGGCCTCTAAAGCACACTCCTGACAATTGTGTTATATTCTGCATTAGCTGTGGCTTCGAAACACTTCAAGGGCAGCCCTCTGTAGAGCATATTACAATATGTCTGTGTATGATGACAGCTATATCTAATTGGGAGATAATTAAAGCTATGGAGAAAATTATGGACAGATTTTGGGTTTATTTACCAATATATAAGCAGGGTATAAGTGATGGGAGACAATAGGCTTTCCTACAAAACTGCACATTTCCAGTGAGGAACATGCTTATCCTCCTATGTTGCAAGCTAGAAAACTCTTGTCACTCTCCCCACCCCTTTTCTCTTTCTTTCTATGCCTCTGTTTATTTCAAGTTGCCAAGGATTTTTCATACCCTTTAAGACATATCCTCAGTTGCTGAATAATATTGATATTCTTTTGTTGAATCTCTGACTCCCATCACATGTCATTAGAAGCAAAACTGTAGTCATTGACCCATCAGGAGCCATCATGCCACCTGACTTTTCATTTCCTCCACTCAGTAGATCATATCTACTGTAAGGGAAATTGGAGTGGCTATAATCTTTTTAGAAACTGTCTGTCTTACACTGATCATTTTAGAAATTGTCTTCCATTCATCAGCAGTAAAGGATAATTGTAGACTACAGTCAACACCAAACCATCCCACTTACTAAATCAGGGCTGTGGTGGTCCTCCAGATATTGATGAATTATTACTCACATCATCCCTGAACATCATGCTGATTTGAGCTTATGGTAACTGGTGTCCAATAACATTTAGAGGGCTACAGCTTCCTCAGCCATGACCTGGAGGTGTGTTCATATAGTAGCTGTCATGTTTTTAGCACTAAATAGAAATGCAGGAAGCTTAGAGCTGAATGGGGGATTCTGGCCTTTAATGCCCACCTTAGGATGTCATATTTGCAGAAGAACATTGACAAACTGGAGCATATCCAGAGATGAAAACCTTATGAGAAACAGTTGAAAAAACTGAGTGTTCTTAGCTGGAAAAGAGTAAGTTAAGAGAAGATGTAATAGGTTTCTTCAGATATTAGAAGGGGCACCATGCAGAGCAGACTTCCTCTGAGTTGCTTGCACAGATCAGGATTAGAATAAATGAAAACAGCAAGGAGGCAGATATCAGGTAAGCATTAAGAGAAACATCATTAAGAGCTGTTCAGCAGTGGAACAGTTTGGCTCGACAGGTCATGGAATCACCTCTGCTTGAGGCATTTAAGCAGAATCTGGACATTCATCTGTCTGCGGTGATGTAGTTGCAAGCAACGGGTTGGATTTAGTGGCCTCTAGTGTGCTTTCCAGTTCTAAATTCTATGTATCTATAAAGACTAACATCTTCTGGACTTGTGCTATGTCTCTGTGGCTTAACATATTAGTATCACAGCACTAGTAAGCTAAAGAGCAGGAGTAGCTAAAAGTATCAACTATACATCGGGAAATTGTCAGTTTGATCTCAATTTTTTCATAATGTCATTAGATTGTCTTTGGCCACCCCACCGGCCAATATTGGGAATAATAATAAATCATCTAACAGCTAATAATTACCTAACACTGTTGTTGTTGTATGACAAGTGTATGTTATCTTGGCCGCTTGAAAGACAATACAAATATCATTAACATGTAGCTGTGACTTCTAAAAAAATGTTAGCAGATAGCATTTACATGGTATTGAAAACACTGTCTACATTGAGAGGTGAGTCTGGCTGGTTTCAGCAGTCAAGAGCCTGGATTATAGAATGGGAAGTTCATGGCTCAAGAATCAACACAGCTTCAAATTTCAGCATAGCTTAGATAAGCCACTGTTAATGGCTTGCCTTCAGGTGTGGTATATATTGGCTATCTGTATTGGATTATTTTAGGAATTGTAGGGTTTATTGTATGGATTACTGATGTATGACTATTCAAACATTTTAATGCCCCAACATAATCATACCACTTTACACTTGTTGATATTGAGCATGATTTTCTATCTTGTTCCTCCAACAAATTTGGAGATGTTCTTTGGCTGTGGTCTACTTGGGTTTTTATAATATTGAATAATTTAGTTCAGTGATGGGAGACATGATGTGTTCCTCCTGATATTGTTGGATAGTAGATCCTATTAGCCGTATCTATTATAGCAAATGGAGTGGAATCGTGGAAGCTGAAATTTAGCAGCAACTGGATACTGTACATTCTTGATTTAGCTGGCCTGTTAATTTGCCTGACCTTGCTGCTTCTCCCTGACTTCAGATAATTTTATGAACAAATGAGAGCCAGCATGGCCTAGTGGTTGGAGTGTTGGACTGCAACTCTGGAGACCAGGGTTTGATTTCCAGCTCAGCCATGAAACCCTCTGGGTGATCTTGGACAAGTCACTTGCTCTCAGCCTCAGGGGTAGGCAATAGCAAACCTCCTCTGAACAAATCTTGCCAAGAAAACCCCATGAGAGGTTCGCCTTAGGGTTACCATAAGTTGAATTCTGATTTGAATTCCAGCTTGAAGGCACACAACAACAAGAACAACAACAAGACACAATCTCTATTACACAAACAGGGTACTAATCAAGCAGCTCTCCAGATATTGTGTATCACAGTTCCCAATGTTCTTCATCACAGGCTGTGTGGCTTATGACAACCCTAAGGTGGTTGTCATAAGCCTTATCCATTATATTATCAAGGGGATTTGCCATTGCCATCCTCTGAGGCTGAGAGAGTGCAATTTGCCCAAGGTCACCCAGTGGGTTTTCATGGCCAAGCTGGGATTCAAAGCCTGGCCTCCAGAGTCGTAGTCCAATGCTCAAACAACTACACCACAATGGCTTACATTTTAGCAATATGCTTCTTAAATTCTGTTGCCAAAGTTGTACAGTACACCATGCTGCATTGCCCACCAAATACAAACGTACATGCAGCCTAATGTTTTCAGCAGTTTTTGGCATATGTAATACATGTGTCTTATGTCAGACGTTTGATATACATTGAAAGGAGTAGGCTTCGTATCAGATTGACAGCTGGCATACATGCTGCCTAAGAAGACAACCATCCAAGGGGTAATTTGAATGTGAATAGCTGGGCTGGAGGGTCCTTGGCAGAAGGAATAGGGCATATCTTGGGGTGTAGATAACACAAGTCCTGCTTCATTTTAATTCAGTAATCCATAAAATAACACATCTAATATGAAGTTACCAGGAAGAAAATGGATAGATTTACTGTTCACAGAACATGCCAGAAACTTTGGCCCATTAGGTGTTTAATATTTGGGGAGACTGGTGTCAGAGATTGCCTTCAGTGATGGGGTCTCATATGCCAGCCAGGCCCCACTGCACTGTTCTGACCCTTAGAACTATCTGGCTCTCCCCATCTTTGATTATTGTTTCTGTTGACTTCCTTTCTCAAAATGTGCCAGAAGCAACAAAAGTAAGAGCAAGAAGCATTAGTACTGGCATGGATGGAAGCCCAAGGAGAAAGGATAGGCTAACATACAGAGAGGTAGCTCCAGTGAAGTCATCTTGTTCTTCAGTTCCAAAATTGCGAGCCAATGCTACCCAATACCTGCAAAGCACCATCGTAGCATCTTTTGCTGGCGCCTTGCCCTCATGACCCCCCTGTTCATATCTCTACAGCACCTAACACAGTCAGAAAGCTGATACAAAGAACGCAGCATTCCTGTATTTATACAGGGGCACAGAAATGAGCAGTGTGACTTTCCGCAACCTTCTAACAAGCTCCCCATATGTCCCATTATCTTCCCCCTCTCCCAACCTGCATTGATTAATTTGGCTAACAGGCTCTTGAATATCTTGTTAAGGGTCATCCAGCTGGAGGCGAGTGAGATTTCCTCCTCTAAACAGAGGGAATAAGACCCAGGCGGGAGCAGCTTACTGTTGACTTCCTAATGTATGGAGTTGCAAAGCCAGGTGCTCCCCTAGTCTGCATCCCCAATTGCATATTGCTTACACTAGCCTGTATTCACCAGGCGGGAAAGATATCATCTCTGTGGTTTACAAATCCTGACATTGTTTGTAACCCTTTTGCATATTCCTTTGCCCCCCCCTTTCCATTTGCATCACAGCGGCTCATCTCCCCTTTGTTGTACCATAATAGACGGGGAGTGCTACATGGGACACATGGGACAGCCAGTGGCTGGGCAGTTTACACTTGTGGCCACTAAGGCAGAGGCTTATGTCATTCATCATGTGAAGGATGGGGGATAGAGGAGAAGGACAATTTGCCCTTTCTCTCAATTAGGCCAGCCTGAGGCTAGCTAGACAGTGGAATTACTTGATTTCTCCACCAAAGGAAAAGGCTGGAAGGAAGGTTGAAGTGATTCCCATCCTGGGCTGGGGAGACAAAGTGGCATCTGGAAGTGGCACTGGCTTCGCTAGAGACCTTGATGCCTGCTGAGAGGGCAAAAAGGCTGGTTCAGGTTGGATGGGTAGCATGGGAACTTGTCAGTATAGGAAAGGTGCATAGGTTGCAACCATCGGCAAGTTAAAACGTGTGCTCGTGCAGTGCATTTGTATCATGCCACATTTGGGATGGAATTTTCAGCAGGATTTAGTAGTGAGCCCTCTTGTTTAGCGTGATGCCAAATTTGTGATTCTTGTAGCAAGCCATGCTCTTATTCTTTACAATTAGCACTTACTTAAATGACTTGCACAGAAGCAAATACCACAAACCAAATGTATTTTTTTTTTAAAAAAAATCCCTCTTTCCCATTTAAAGATGTAATCTCTGTGGTTTACAAATCTCGGCATTTGTAACCTGTGTTCAAGGCACAGGTTAAAAATAAAAAGACAACAAATGAATCAGCTATAAAAGAAGGAAGAAGCAAATCTTAATGTTATATCTCCCCAGTTTCCCTAGCGATATGTGAAACTGCAAGATGTGAAGAGACAGCTCTGCTTGGTCTTGATGTTATTCACTACAATATATTTATTGTGAATACACTTACTGCAGTATGGAGCCTCTGGATATGTTAGACCACAACTCCCATCATCCACTACCAACTAAAAGGCAACAGACTGGGCAGGACAACTTGGTAGGTTGAGGCTACTTTATGATCACAGTAGAGAAAACAGAATTCATGCCATTTGCAGTTGTCCCGTTTTTCTTAAATGAATAGATTGGATTGGGATCATTGTGCCCTCATTGTGGTCCTAATCTGAGTTGGGAGGACCCCATAGCTATAAGGAGTGCCCTTTACAAATAGGAGATCAAGATCAGAAGCAGGCCCACTGAAAGGAAGAGCATTACAGTCCTTGTCTCTTACCCAACCCTGAAAAATCCAGCAGAATCCTCCCCTGTATTCTCTACCTCTGCAGATACACCATGCCTGCTTTGTACCTTTAGGAACCATTCATGCAGTTGCTAATGGTATGAATGGTGTCACATCCACTTTGACTCTAAGATAACAAGAGCGTGGGAGACAGATAGTGTCTTTTCAGTATTTGCTTATTTACAAATGTACAAGCAGTGCATAAGAAGATTTCCTGCCGGCAGCAGATTCTCTGTTGCAAACATACTACTACTTAGTTTAACAGCATCTTGACATTTTATTATGTTTCAGCTGTTGTGAAAAAAGGTTTAACATGATGTCATATCATTTGTATGGCTTCCTATGGTTTTCTCAGATATGTATGTATTTATGTATGTAATGTTGCATTTATGTATTATGTATGTCATGTGCCTTCAAGTCATTTTTTTTACTTACGGTGACCCTAAGGCAAGGCTATCATGTGGTTTTCTTGGCAGGATTTGTTCAGAGGAGGTTTGTCATTGCTTGAGGCTGAGAGTATGTGACTTGCCCAAGGCCATCCAGTGGGTTTCATGGCCGATTGGGAATTGAACCCTGGTCTCCAGAGTTGTAGTTCTACACAAAAACGACTACGCCATGCAGACTCACACATACACACATACCATAAACAGAACACAATTTTGATATAGCAAGATAACCAATAATGTGTGTGTGTATGTATTGGTTGTTCTGATATATCAAAACTGTGTTCTGTTTATGGCTTGTAGACTGAAACTTCTTTTTGCAATTCCACACCTGAGCCCAGACAATGCTGTACCTTCCACCAGCTCATGCTTCATTTATTCTTCTGCCTCTTTACTGAGGTCACACAGAGACACATGGACATCCTGTTGTAGAACGGATCCTTTTCTAGAGCCCTAATGGATATGTCATTCAGAAATTAGAAAAGGAGACCTTTCCTATCAGGTCACTTTTAAACTATTGCCATCATGTCATTCTGTGATGGTACGTGGTTGATCATTGCAGAGGGTAACACACCAAAACAAATTAACCTTTTTGGTTTTGATAACATTAATATTTGATGAAGACATCTGTAGTCTACAAAAGCTTGTAGTTTGCTGCTCCTGTTGTTGTTGTTGTTGTTGTTGTATGCCTTCAGCTTATATCTGACTTATAAAGACTATCATAGGGTTTTCCTGGAAAGGTTTGTTCAGATAGGGGTTGCTATGGCCAAACTCTGAGACTGAGTTTGCATCCGCATTGCAGAAATAATCCAGTTTGACAGCGCTCTAACTACCATGGCTCAATGCTATGGAATTCTGGGAATTGTCATTTGTTGTGGCACCAGAGCAAAACAGAGCTCTGGTGCCACAATACGCTACAAATCCCGGGATTCCATAGCATTGAGCCATGACAGTTAGAGCACTGTCAAACTGGATTATTTGGATACTGCCTCAGAAAGAGAGTTGCCCAACAGCACCCAATGAGTTTCCATGGCCAAACAGGAATTTGAACAGTGGTCCCCAGAATCCTAGTCCAGCATTCAAACCACTACACCATGCAGGCTCTTGAATGTGTTTGTTGTTGTTGTTGTTTGTGATATCTGGGATTCATAGATTTTTGTGGGTTTTTTGGGCTGTGAGGCCGTGTTCTAGAAGAATTCCTTCCTGATGTTTCACAAGCATCTGTGGATGCCCTATTCAGAGAAGATCTTCTGAGATCTGTAGAGAGATCTTCTGAAGAAGCCAGCCACAGATGTAGGCGAAACTTCAGGAAAAAATTCTTCTAGAACATGGCCTCACAGCCCCCAAACCCCCCAAAAAACCCATGGATGCCTGCCATGAGAGCCTTCAACTTCACCTGGGATTCCTTTACATCTTTATAGATTAGCAGGCAATGATCGGAAGCGGGGTGGGGAAAAGATGTCTTCCCACCAGAACCACGTTGCAAGATGGGCAGACAGGATATGTGTTCCACGATTTCCTCTTCATGACAAAGTTTCTGCCTGCCATCAGTCAGAGCCACCCTTTCCCCACATTTCCCTGCAATTGTTGTTCTCTCCCACACACAGATTTCTTTTACAGCTGCTTGGTTAGAAACCACTGCTCTTAAAGCCAGGAAAGGAGAGGAGAACATTTCATACGTACACATACACACACACACCTGTGTGTTGTCTCCATCACAACTTGGAGAAAGCTGTCGAAAGAGCTGGGCTTGCTCTCTGCCAAGGAGGCTTAACACCCACAGCGTGGAGAATGAAAAAGCTTTTAGAAAGCAGTGGGGAGCAGAGAAGCTTCCACTCTGTCGCTCTGCTGCAATGAATCAGGCTCTGAAGTCTTTCTTGCCCCTTTCCCATCATCCCCACCCACTCCGGCACCCAGATGGGGTTTTATTTTGACGATGTGTTCATTTGTAATGCCCACCTGCATCCACTCTGCCCATCCCAGTCCTTTAAATTTGCACCATCGTTGTCCTCTTTTTGCTGCCGATATCTGAGAGAGAGAGAGAGAGAGAGAGAGAGAGACGCATTGAGATTGTAATAAGGATCATTTTCTTGCTTTATTCCCCCTTAAGCCTGAGGAAAAGGAAAAAACAGCTCTCTGCGCACCCCTGAACTGTAATGATGGTAATAACACACTGTGTTATTATCCAATACCGCTTGCCTTCCAGAACGCTACACAAGATGTTAGCAATAATTAAGGACTGCAGCAGCATCCGTGTTAAGGCCAGGCAGAGAATGTGGAAAATTACAGGGCACACAAAGAGAAGGGGGTTTCTTGGGGAATAAAGAGAAAAAGAACTTGACTAAGGCTGACAACACAAGCCTGGAGAGAACCACCATGGTGGGACCGGAAGACAAGGTGGTGGGGAGGAAGGAATGTAACGGCACTTTATTATTATTACTAAATTAAAAAAACTATACAAAGAATAAAGCAGTACAAGATGGTTAAAACCCCACAAAATCTTACAATGGTTAAATAAATTTTCAAATACATCACATATATATAGTCCTATACACCTTAAGTTGTTTGAAAAAGATCAGACCATATAGTGACCTCTGGCAAGTGGGGTGGGGGGGGTGGACAGCTCTAAAATTTATATTAACATAATCAATAAAAGGAAGCCCTTTTTCATAGAAAGATTTCTTGGTCTTGTTGCATTAAGTTATATTTCATTTTATCTAATAACTTCTCCATTAGCCGTTGGTCCCAGACTCTCTTCCACCAATTATCTAGGGACACAAGTTTTGTCTTCCAAGATTTGGCCACTTTTAAGACTAACTGGTTTACTTTAGTACAGTTGGCCCTCTGTATCCATGGATTCCACCAACTGTGACTTGCAGATATGTAAAAAGTATACATAAATACCAAAAGCAAATCTTGATTTTTGCCATTTTATATAAGAGAAAACAATTTATAGTGTCAATGTATTTAATGGGAGATTAGCATCCACGGATTTTGGAAACCATGAGGGTGGGTGGGTCCTGGAACCAAACCTCAGCATATGCCAAAGATCCACTTTGAGCTTTCATGGATTTCAGTGGATTTCTTTTGAGGCATTGGTCTCCTCTGCTTCCAAGGGATAGCATTTTGTTCCATTCTAGAAGGACAGGAAAAGGTGGTAGTACTGGGTTTTGTGCAACTATTGAATTTTAGGGGCATAGTTCTGCTGGAAAAAATACTACCAGTTTCAGAACTGGCAGATGTGATGGCAGGGGCCACAGAAAGGGTCAAGGGAGTGTATCTGGCTTGTAAGCCATCTTTTTCCCTATCCTTGTCTACATAGTTTGACACAACTCTCCAGAAGTGGGTGTAGAAGTGTTTCCCAGCCTCGGTTGCAGTTGTCAGGAATTAAGCCAGGTATCTTTTTAATGTAGAGCAGGTGTTCCACATCTGTGCTATAGATCCCCCTCCCCGATAGCTGTGGGACCATTGGTACCCCAGGCTACACCTGCATAAGTCACTAAGAAGAATCTGCATAGGTTGCTTTGCTTGAATGATCTGCTGCATATACATTTTAGTGATATATTTGTAGGCTGAGTGTTTGTTTTTTTAATTTTGATGTGATGCCCTGAAATCATTTTTTATGACAATGATTGATGGAATGAGATTTTTACACCAATGTTATAGCTGTACACCAAAGATCAACCTTCCCCAATGGCCATCCATCTCCCATCATCCTCAGCCAGCATTGGTTATTGGTACAGCACATCTGAAGGGCACCATGTGGGGCAGGCTGGCACAGATTAGTCTCTGCTTGTTTTCTTAACCTTGTTGGTTTATGAGCAGGTAAACTGTAGTTTACCATTGTTTATGAGAATAAAGCCATTGTTATTCCCAAGGTGCTAAAAATGTGAGATTATGACTTATCCAACATCATACAGTGTGTGAGTGCCTAAAATGGAGATTAAATTCAGGTATTGATTATATGAAGATTTCCCAAGTTGCCTTTGCTGTTCTCACCAGTTTTCATGTCCTTCTCTCTTCTGCTCAGGTTTATTGATGCTTGGCAAAGTGAATTTTCTGCTATGACCACAGCACCAGCCTTCTCTCCTATCTGTCAAGACATCTCAATTGAAAACAGAACCAGGGCATTATCTCTTCAGTGTATGTCCTCCATCCAAGAGCCACAACAGTATCACCACCATAATGGGAAGTGTCAGTAGCCTTATTTCTGGGCATAGCTTCCATAGCAAACATTGTAGGGCATCACAGTACAAGCTGCGCAAATCATCCCACCTGAAGAAGCTGAACAGATACTCAGATGGGCTACTGAAATTTGGCTTCTCTCAGGAAACCGGGCACAATAAGTCCAGCTCAAAAGGCAACAAGAATGAAGATTTCTTTTACATCAAGGTCAACCAGAAAGCTCACCGGGCAGACTATACACCACTCTCAGGTGGAGAGCTAGGAAGCCAGGCTGGGAGGAGCAGCGTGGACTATGGCACTGCAACACCCCCTAAACTCAAGCCAATCTCCAACCAGCTGGACCTAGTGAGTTGTTTGAAATTTGGTCAGAGTATAACAAAACCCCAATCTGTACTAACATAAGAATAGCTCCAACACCCTACTTCCCACTATCCAACCAGTTGGATGTGGGAACTCCTCAAGCAAGGCACAAAGGCCATAGCACTCTCATAACACTTCTGCTCTCTCCAGTGTTGTAGTGGAGCCATTGCTTACTTGATTTAAGTGCCAAGACTTTTTGATTAGCAGGTACTATTACTTCATCTGCCCTACTCCTTTTTGACTTCCCTGTTCCCTTAAAAATTAGCTTCAATCCCTACAGTAGCTGAAAGAGAAATGGATTTTCTCAGCAAAATATATTATTATGAGCTATCGTTATTCTAATCCAAAGTATTTTGGGGTGCTTTGACTGGGCAAGGTCCATTAACTGTATAAATAGTTATTTTCCTGCTAGAGAGGAAAACAGGTAGAAGTGGTGGTGGTGGTTGCTGTTGTTCTGTGCCTTCATGTCTGACTTATGGCAACACTAAAGCAAACCTATCACGGGATTTTCTTAGCAAGATTTGTTCAGAGGGGGTTTGCCACCTGCATTTTTCGCTGTCCTTGTGTATGTTGCCATGTGCACTGTCACAATAAAGGCCTACACTTCAAAATTTACCACTGTCCCATATGGGTGACTGGGTCAATCCACCTCACCACCACTCCAAATTTTACTGCAACTCTTCCTACAGGTTCTCCAGGTTGAATGGGAGCTCTGCCAGAGTCACATCCAGTTCTGGCATAGTTCCCATTCAACATGGAGAAGCTAGAAGGATTTGCTGCCCCGCAGGGGGTAGATCCATTGGCCGCCTCTGCCATCAGCTGATAATTTGGAGATGTCAAGCCTCAGAATCTAAAGCAGGTCTGGGTTTCCAGTGATATGATAAAAAAAAATTAAAAGTGAATTTGTAAACATGATTGTGTTATACCTGAAAAAGTTGAAAATTTGCAGCATTAAACTACTGCCCTTCTTTGACCTAGGAAAGGAGAACATTTTCTTTTTTTAAGCAAACCAACCTTACTCACTACTTGGACTAATATTTAAGTCGGAATGCAATTATTCTTTCAATTGTGCACATCTCCAAATTTTGCAATGCAAGTTTTGGCTCCACAGTTGCACACAAATGTATGTGTGTTAGGGAACATTGTGTACAAAATGGACTACATTACAGAAAGGTGTGTGCATAAATGCATATACTAGGGAGTGTTGTAAAATTTTATTAAAAAGTATATTAGAAAAAGTTCTGATGGAAATAAATGCAAAATTTTGTGTGCTTCAAAAAATTCATACTGATGCAAAAAACGGATGGGATGAGTTGACAGTTAAATAGATATGCAACTGACAGGGACTAGAAAATTTATTTACTGTACAATTTGCAGAAGCAAATTTGCAGAAACCAGGTAGTTTGCTTATTCTATTATTTGTGGTGTGTTCTCTGTTTTTGAACATAGTGAAAATCTCCCATAATGTACTTTTTAAAGCAACATGCTTGCATGAAGTGCACCATCTTTTCAAGCTGAATTGTATTGCTGAATGTCAGATTCATGTTAAGAAGAAAG